CCCCCCAAAAGCATTGAACAGTCGATACTGGTCTATCAAAAACCACAACACAGATTGAGTTCATGCGCTCACGTCAAACGGCCTGAAAAATAATACAAACAAAAACCAGGACTCCTAAAATTCAATTCAAAACAACTCTTTGAACATGATGCCGAATCCACCCACTGTCTCGAATGACCCGAAGCGAGCCTGCGTGCCAAATTCAGGCAGCTGCCGCGGCATTGGATCACATCTTTTGGCCGGTGCAATGGGACAATATAAAACAAATGATGGTCAATGTACTCAAGACCTGATCAAACAAAGAAGTCAACCTTTGTGAAGACCAAAAACCCGATTCAATTAATCATTCTTTTGAAGGCTTCGAAACCACAAAAACATGTGTTATTGTATATAGTTTGGTGACCTTTGGTGGTTCCCTGTTTACATGCCTGCGTGCTTGAGCATCGTTCTGGCATCTACGGTGGTTCATTGTGAATATCCCATGTGTTTAATGCGCTGAATACACGCCCACCAATCTGAATCCAATCAATATATGTATACTTGGAGCATCGAAACAAAATGTTTGGAACACATATGTTCGGAACATCGAAACAAAGCCAAAATAAGTATAGTACGTGTTTGAAACGTATGTATGAAGTACTGTGCTTACACATGAGGATGCGAGCACGTGTGGCCCGACACCACCTTGATCATTGAATCTAACATCAAAAAAACAAATTTTGATAACGATATACAAAAATATATCTTGATATATCTTATATATTCCACTTACTAAGTTCGACCGGTCGAACTTACTAAGTTCGACTAAGTTCGACCGGTCGAACTTATAAACATAGATACTAAGTTGGATAACCTCAACTAAAACATATATCGAACTTACATATCTTAAGATAGTAAGTTCTCATTAAGTAGATCATATGTTCGCTATCTTCGCGTTGGACTTACTAAGTGGTTATATCATCTTAGTAAGTACAGACAGGAACACAAGTGCACATAGGCAGCATAGAGGCGAACTTAACACGGTTGCAAGTTAGTTACCACATTTGCAACCAGCTCATACCTAAGTTATAGTCTACTTATATTCGGTTAGTAAGCTGGACAACGAGGCTAACTACTTACAACCCCAACCGCACATCCAAGTAGGACTCCCAGGAGTGCTCGAAGTTGTTCAATTTCCACCGGAGAGCATACTGAGTACCTCTGTCGTTTTCGGTCTCTAGACAGGTGGATTTCTTGTAGTGACCCGTCCTCCAATCTCCCAGTGCCCCAGGTATTTTCCCAAGGTGTATTTCTGTTTCAGCTCCTCCATCTTGGATAGGTGCTTGTCAGTTCCACCATGAAGTAAGTCATCGGTGGCTAGAGCAATGATGCCCTCGATGTCATCTCTCTGGTTGTCACTGTCCAGAAAGAAGAGGCACGGATCGATGATGGACTGTCGATAACCCAATGTCTTGGTGAGGTACTTCACGATATGGGCGTACCATGCTGATGGCCCATCTGTCAGGCCGTAACAAGTCTTTTTCAGTTTGATCAGCTGCTTGGCGGAGGCTCCAGGAATCCCTTCACGAGGTTGAAGTGCATACTAGTTCTCTATTGATTGCATCTCCCGAGTGGAAGGCTTGGGTGAAGTCAGCAAAGCCTGGCGTCCACTTCTTGGAGACGAGAATCTGGGCAGTGAAGATCACGGAATCTCTATGGACCTGAGGTGTGCTTGTCTCAAGCTGCAGAAGATCAGGTTCGCTAAAGCCCTGCATGACGTGTCGGCATTTCGCTTTGCTGGGTCCATCAGTTGAAGCATCCAGTACCAGATCAGCTGACCGAGCCTCGTCTAAGGCGAAGTCCTCGATGGGCTTCATGGTGAACACATATAGCGGGACTTCATGAACTTATCCGGCTTGTGGGTGCGAATATGTTCCGACTCCGCTTCGGAGAGGATTTCGTAAGCCTCCGTACCTAAATTGTTGTTGATCTCCTTGTGAATGGCCTGTCGGAATCTTTCGAGGTCCTTCCCGTGGAACTGACTCAGCTGGCATTCCCGGTTCTTGGTGGGCTTCGGCTGGTTCTTGTTGAACAGTTGTGTATGTAGGACCTCCAGCAATTCAAGACGTGATTTCTTGTTTGGAGGTAGACTTTCCCAGCGAGCCTCTGATGCTTCACTCCCAGGTCGTTTCAGGTCACCACGGATGGATTGAGATAGTCCCATCGATGCATCATCAGGTAGTGGAACTTGTTCAGGAGGTAGAACACTCCGGTCGGGCTCGAAGATGGTGGCTTCTTCTAGCTGCTTCGCATTCTCCTGGTTCTCCGGCTCGTCCCCAATTTGTGTAGGGGTGTACTCTTCGAGATCAGGTACTCGATGTTGTGTCTTTTGCCGAACTCGCCGGTCAGGCGGTGATACTTCTTCTCGACGTGGAACCAAAGAGAAGTCCAGTTCTTTCAGACGGAACCAGGTCTTTCCCGTCCATGATTCGTTACCCAGAGGATTTTCTTCATCTCTCGGCCCTTTCCATACTGTTTCTACATGTTGGAATTTGCCTTTCTTGTCTATCATCTCAATTCTCATCCAGTCCTCCAGGTCCTCAAAGGGAACGGGAATGTCGTCCTCGGTCTCGGTCGGGTAAAAGATGTTGGATCGTTCATGCACTCTGATCACATAGGCGCCCTGTCGAGTCCAGTAGTCCTGTGCATCCCCGAGATCGACTGCATGGTGGCTTTTCTTCTTCTTTGAAGAGGTCGATCATGCCCTTGATGTCGGCCGTCTCGAACTGTTTCTTGGCATGTCCAATTCCATCTAACCAACCGCTGATGGATAGGTTTTCCTCCTCAGATGCTGGTCGTAGCTTTTCGGGAGCTGCCTTGACCAAGTGGTGGTTGTATGATATCCACACCGTTGTGGGAAGTTGTACAGCTACGACTCGCGCAGGTCCGTGCCAGAAAGCATTTGCAGCCTTCCTGGTAGGATCTGTGCCTCGGCGCCAAAAGTAAACTGCTTGTCCAGGTTGATAATCATAATGCGGTCGGGGACCATGAGTAGCGGCTGCTCTGATGGCTTGCTGGCAGTCGATTTCATGAAACGCCTGAGAAGCGGCCTTGCGAATCTCCATGGCTTGGTTAACGGCCAAGTCTCCGGCGGCAGCACGGCTTTGGACCGCAAGATCACCTGCTCCGTCAGACATCAGTCCTCCTGGGAGCCGTTGTTGATATCCGAACACCCTCTGTGCGGGCGAGAATCCGCCCCGGCTAAGAAGTCTGTTCTTGGTGTGACATGTGATGTCGATGCACTCATGCCAGGTGTTGCAATTGACCTGTTCCATTGTCTTGTAGGCCATGTCCTTGAAGAGTTGACCGTTCCTTTCCACGAACCCTCTTTGTTCTGGAGTTTCCAAGGATGACGGTAGTATTTCGGTTCCGTCGGCTTCGGCACTGTCTTCAAATTCTTTTTGGAATTCTCGTCCAAGGTCACACAGTAAACGACGAGGAGGTCCAAATAGTCGGATCCAAGTGCGGTATCCTTGTCGGGCTCCCTGAGCGGTGTGGTCAGCCAGTGGAATCACTAACTGAAAGTGTGACGCATAGTCACAAATGTTCAAGCAGTATTTGGGCTTCTGAGAAAAACTGGCTCTCATTTGAATCGCGTCAACTCCGACGATCTCGTTGAGACCGACTTCACGAGGAGGAGCTCCAGCTCGGGATGGTCGTGGTCTTTTGAACCTCTCGCAAACTGAGCATTTGAGTTCTTTGGCTATCTTGAGGACTTGCTCAGAAGCTTTGCTATGTTTCAAGATTCGTAGGAATCGATCTTTGCCTGGGTGTCCAAGTCCTTCATGAGCTCGTTTTACGAGGGCAGGAAGTGAAAGTGGATGACTCCCCGGGAAGGATTCGCGAGCTTCCTCTAGTCATCCGGCAGGATCACACCTTTCTCACGAACCTTTCGTGCAGAGTCGTCCCAACGGAGCATGAAGCCCTGAGCACGTTCTCCTTTGCTGCGACGTAGATGAAAAGTCAGCCGGCTGCAAGCAGCCAACATGGACTCCCTCATACTCCCTCTCTTCTTCCCCATAGTACTCCTTCGTGTCCATGAGGGCCAGGAGGAAATTCCCATTAGTCGGATCGTCCAGCCATCGGTCGTCGGTGGCCAGAAATTTCATATGCTCCCACGGAGTGTCTGACAACCCCTTCAGCAAGAGTGGCCCTCTTGCAACTGCAGGGGTTCTGGTAGTTCTCAACCAAAGTTTTGCCTGATCTTGTAGTCCTTGAACTCCATCTTCACCCCATCCCATTCAGGAGGGGGGTCCCGCCGTCGTCCTCTCCGCTTCATCCCGGGCTGCATAACCCCATTGAGCCATAGGTGTAGCGAGAGGATCGATCTGGTGTGTGCCACCCATACCATGAAGGTGAACTAACTCTGGTCGGTTCGCTCCTGGCGTAGGTGGCCTTGGTGGTGCATTGGCTTGCCGCCACTGCAAAAACTGGATGTAGTCGGCGTTCGCCGGTTCTGGATCCATAGCTCCCGTGCGGTTCCATGGGTCCTGTCGAGCCCATGGATCATAGCTCTCAGAGCTGTTGGAACCAGGTGGTTCTGTCCTCATCCCGGCCGCAGTGGCCGGAGCAGCGGCAGCATGTGGATGCCGTTCATCTTCTTCAGGAGGTAGTCCAGGCGCAAGGCCTGGAGGCGGCATCATGTTCGACGGCGCGGCGTTCATCGTCCCTGGATCGAACCTCGGCTCCGCTACCACTGCACGAGGCAGTGGCAGCGTGAACCGGAGCTCAAAGGACCCTTTTTGGACATGATGCGCTCCTGCGCTTGAGCCAAAGTCGTGGCCGATGGTCTTTTGACCAAAGCGCATGCTAACCGGAACTTTGCAATCATATATAAGAAGGTGTTGGAACGGGCCAACACGCCAATCTGGGTCTCAGCTAGTTTGGACTTATATAATGATCTTCAAATCTTCAAGGCAAAGAACAACTGCCTGCTCACCGAGTCGATGTCCAGTCCCGGCCTTGTGCAGGCGAAGCACCTGGCGGGTTTGTTCCTTTGTTCGGCTGTGGACGCGGTTCATGTCATGGTCCACCAGGTCTTCGTTGTTTCATTTTATAGTCCACTGGGCATGTCCGCTTGCGGCCGGGCCTGGCGTGAAGGGCCGCCGCATCGGGACTTGACCTGCAAGGCCTGGGTTTCGCGTTGACTCCACGGCTGCCACTGGTACAAATCACAAACTGTGGCTAGGCCCGCGAGTTCACTTCAAGGGCTCATGAGCGAAAACCTAGTAGCAAGAATGCTCCTAGTAGCGATGCTAGGAGCCCCTAGTAGGGTCCTTGCTCCTAGTAGTAAGGCCAGGAGCCCCTAGTAGCTTCTTGTTCCTATGATATATATATATATATATTATATGTGTTTTGCAATTAAGAATCAAACATAGGTCACATTGGGTCATTGACACTGGGAGCGGATTGAACAGCAAAACTTTCGCTGGTGAATAGCCGTAGCTGATATGGTTGCTGGCAAAGCCTTCACTCCACCTCTGTGTTTTAATCGAAACACTTCCATTGATCAAATGTTCAGTGCTGGTGATTAATGGTCTCTGAATTTCAGCATTGCCCACATCCCAAGGGAACTTATTTCGAGACCTGACCTGAGCCACCACACCCGTCGCTGCTTGCGGCTGCTGCAACGCGATCTGGTGAGGTACAGAAGTGGTGATCGACTCCTGTGACTGGGACGAACGCAGGGGACCGTGGGTAATCATCCACAAGCACGTGGGCAGTTTGGGAAGGAAAATGAAGCTTAGGAGCAAGGACGCTACTAGGGGCTCCTGGCCTTACTTCTAGGAGCAAGAAGCTACTAGGAACAAAGGGCATCGCTACTAGGAGCAAGGACGCTACTGTGACTCTTCGAGCTGGGACTGCCCGACCATCCCAAGATATAGAGATTGCCTACAACACTCCCTTAAATTAAGCCAACTGCTTGTGTTGCATCACTATAATTTCTGGATCGGAAGAAGCTATATAGTTTTAAGCCATCCATTTGCTGGTGTCCGGCACAACGATTTTGACGTGCTGTTGCTTGAAGCGACAAGCAAGGCAAGTATATAAGGCTTGTTGACTGTCCGACTACCTTTCTTTCCACGGTGACTCAAACTCATTGATTCAGGGCAAATTGGATGGTGTAACACCAAAAAACTATATAAGTGAATCAAAGCCCACCACGGTGGGGTGACCTATCAATCCTCCAATGCCACAAACCGAAAGCCGGGCCTTCCATGTTGGGCGGATGGAGCTGGAGCCTTGCGGTCCCCAGTCTATAAAATGCCATTTACCCACATGGAGAGAAAGGTCATGAAAGGTCCATGTTGCTCCTAGTAGTAAGGCCAGGAGGCCCTAGTAGCGTCCTTGCTCCTAGTAGCGATGCCAGGAGCCCCTAGTAGCATCATGGAGTTACAACACATATGCAAATTCTCAAAGAATCTATTGCCGAAGATTTCGCTGCACTTCAACATCTGAGACGCCGTGCTGCCACCAAAGGTATTCTGACCTACATTCCAGGTTTGATGCATCAATTTGCCGATTTGCCATGGTATTTCAAGTCCCAAAACGTGACACTTAGTCCTCCCACCAAGCAACGCGTCTTCATTTCGTCGAATCTCTTCTACAATCTTCTACAAGCGCTTGCATGGTCCAGCCTGGAGCAAAACGCGGATCCTGGCGTGGCAATGAGCTGCGAAGCTGATGAACCTGTGTATGTATGGCGCTCTCTCTCTCTCTCTCTCTCTCTCTATGTGAGGCCTATGGTGGCTAGCTGTTATCTGCTTGTTGATCAAGCAACTTTAAACCCTAGCAAATCTAAAACAAGTTGACCTCAAATTGAAAATACCACTATATGCATTCGGCTATGGGTCAAAACCGGGGGACCTTCGTTGAGCTGTAAAAGATTGTAAAAGTCGGCGGAATGGACTGCCAGGCAGATCCAGGTCTTGACCCACACCCATTTCTCTGAGTTGTCCAATGGAACTGCTGTGCACCACGGTCACCACGATCTGATTTTTGACTATGCCGAATCCTGTGGCTACGTCAAGCCTCTACTAAACCACCAAACGGGCTCTTGCTCTGCGGCAAAGGCAAAGCTGTGCTTGCAACGTTTTCTCCGTCTTTGCTACCCCAAGAAATCAACTCAAGTCATAGGATTGTATAAGGGTCCCCTCCTTCAAGTTGCCAAGGTCAAGAAAATGACAATCACTTGTTGGATTCTGCAAATAATGCGGAGTCCTGGCTTTCTCAAAGCCAGTGGATAGTTAATACTACGCGTACTACCTGCTTGGACGCACACCTACTATATAATCTACACAGCCTCCCACCAAGAGTCTTGCAATCCTATGCAATCCTGATACTAGCGCCTGATAGGTTGCAGGAACTTCCATCAACTCACACACAACCTGCTGGCAAGTGTTGGAGAGTTCCAGGCACAGGATAGCTTCTCCCACTGGATCTGGTGGGCGTGCCTGCGCTTGCGCCTGGCATCGCAGCTAAGTTAGTTAGCCAGAGCCAGGTTATATCTAAACTTGGAATGCGCGCCTGCCACAACGAAAGAAGTTGCTTACATGGTGCCAGCTTACGTAGTTTGTAACGTCGGACTGGGGCTCTCAGCTACTGGTACCATATAGAGCTTCCAGCAAGTTGACTCAATCTGCCACCAACAAGAAGATGGAACTTGAGTGAAGCTTAACAAATTGTTTGCTTTCTTTAACATATTGAATGTTTGTTTGGTTCTTTTTTTCACGTACTCATCGTACTCTGATCTCGAGGTACCTATCCATAATAGCTGGATGATGCTCTCCGAGGCACTGGCCTGAGCAGCTTGCATTTGCATCATCTGCGCCTTCTGCTCTTCGATCTGCCTACGTGTTGCACGTCGTGAATGTGAGACATGGACGTTCACAAACCTCTCCAGCTGCAACACACATCCCTACCTCTGTTGGTGCTCGTTCTGCTGCTCTAACACACGGATCTTGTCTTCCAGTTCGCGCCTTGGTCCATACAAAAAGAACACATCATCAATGTTCATCCAACATCATTGTCTTAGGACCTAGGCACATCCTTCAAATCAAACAAAGCAATGCACATGTGAACCAATGTGTTCAAATCGATCCAGGTAACCAGCCCCCATGTAAACAAATGTCAATTCACCGTGTAGCAACTCACGATCTACCAGACCGGTGGATGGATTGTCAATGCCTCACTGCGGGCGCCCCACTCATGGCTCTCTTTCATGGCAGCCAGCTGAGTACCTCATGGGAACATTGTCAAGCTGCTGAAGGTGACTGTCCACAGACGGGGAGGGTTGTGTGACTTTAACACATAGAATCCCCAAGTGGAGACAAGTGGAAATGATTATATAATATACACGGCCCTGGTCTAAGTCAGTGAGGTACGGCAAGACATACTGGAATCGAACCTGCAAAGCCTTGTGAATCCGATGTACCAAAAGTCATCCATGAGAAACGATGAGAAACAATACGACCATCTGGCGTAAAGGTCGCCCCCCGAGCGCTCACAGTTACAAGTTTTATGTATAAACTAATTAAAACAAAAACAAGAAAACACAATATATGTAAATACATATAATTAGTTTTGTTATGTTTTGTTGCCGTCTCCTGACCCCTGAGGGCTGAGCTCTGGGAGACCGGTGCCGAGAAGCGTGCCCTGGTCAGTTGCCATCGTGCATGTGCACATATATCCAAAAGAGAACTTGGATATGATAGAAGTCGATGAATGGATGAAGTTTCTGGCCTGTCGTTGGAATCCAAGGCCACGCCAGCCTCACGACATGAAGCTGAGTGCTGCGACTCACGAAGGAAAAAACATGAAAAAACATAGTTCAATGAGACAGGCCTGTGCTTGGGGTTCCAAATTTACAAAACATTTGCACAGAAGCAGGCTAGGACGTTTCTAGTTCTCAAGAAGCTGATGAATGAAGGTCAGCGAAGGAAAGCTCCACGGTCTGTGAGCGGCCCATAGCTGCCTGTAGTTGGGATCCCGTGTCAGCGCGGACTCTGGCAATTAGCCTGCGAACAAACCGAATATCATGGAGACAATCTTGGCCCCAGCATCTGGAAGGCATTCTTGTGAACACAGTATTCATTGGTCACGTCGTCTCTGAATACTGGATCTTCGGATCCTGCTAGAATTGCTGTATCCGGAAAAGGCACCACGTTTGATGGTAATCCCACCTTGCGTAAGTTTCCCTCAAGTAGTCTTGCTTCAATGACTGTAGCACCGTGTGGGCTTGTGTGCTTCCACAACGTTGATCTGTTGTTCTAAAACCGGAAGAATGAGCAGTCACGGTGTTGTCCAGGCGCAGGTCAAAGTCGTCATGCTTCGTCTCTTGAAGGTAGTTTGGATATACTTGGATGAGCTTCCTAATGTTTCCTGTGGTTTTCCAGCCTGGTGAGTTCCCGCAGCTTTGGCACAGGGAGGAGCTTCAAGTCAAAGTTGAAGTCCTCTCCGGTGGTGACAAGGCCTATATTATACAAACAGTCACAAGTCATTCTAGAAACCCAGAGTGATTTAAGCTTCAATGCAAAGGCCACCCAAGAGATCGACTCGGTATACGGTATACGGTATGACTCAAATTGGCTGGCCGGCCTAGGTTCAAAGGTTTCGACCCAGCCAGTCTAGCCACCTAGCATTTTATGATCTTAGCAATGGTCGACGAATAGTGCCACCCATAGGTACTGCCAAAGGTACTACCAATAGTGCCACCCATAGGGACGTGTGCAAGATGGAAGGAGTTGTGTCAAAGGGCTGGACGGCTCTCATCCAGTAATTTAAGCACGTCTCTCATGTCAGCACGCTCACCAGCTGACGTCAAACTTCTTGACGGTGGTTATTTGAACAAGCAACCAGGATTGCCCCCTGATAAATATCGAACAATAAACAAACTGGGTAGTACTACACGGTTCACGTGGGGTCGCTCCGGATGATCTCCTCCACATCATCGGGCCGCCAGGTGACCTCTGCCTCCCGCGCAGTTTCCAGGACTGGTCGCAACGACACTTAAGACTTCACTGGCCAAGAACCTACTAGGAGCAAGGACGCTACTAGGGGCTCCTGGCCTTACTACTAGGAACAAGAAGCTACTAGGAACAAAGGGCATCGCTACCAGGAGCAAAAACGCTACTAGGGAGCAGTGGAACATAGTGAATCCTTAGGGCTTGTTGCGGGCAAACTGCCTCCTGAACGCCTAAGCCATACGGAGCCAAAGTGGATGGGAAGCCCTCCAATATAATATAGATTAGATGATATTAGATGTCTGTTTGTGGATGGCAAGAACTGCAACTTTAGATTGCCAAATGTACATTATGAAGACATTATTACACTATCACTATACGATACTATACGTATGATTTGATTTGAACTTGAAAGGTCGCCATTTGTCAACACCATGTTTCTTTCTACCGCTTGCAATATCAGAACATGTGGTGGGTGACCCTGCCAAACCAAAACACCAATACGGGATAATTTAATGCCGGCATCGGCCATTGCATTGTCCCTCTGAAGGTGCCCCAACAATCAACTGTCCAGGGAACTTGTCCATTCTGGGTGATCGAACTTCCACCTCAAGTTGATCAACCCTCCAAAACCTCCAGAACTCGTCGGAACTGCAGCACCGTCTTGGTACCTTGAAACACTCCAGCAACTTCTCAAGCTGCTGGGGCTTCAACTCGTTGATCTGCCTGCTTTCGCCACAGCGGGCCAATCTACGTTGATTGCTTCCGGTCCAACAGTTCTGTTTTGGATAGCCAGAAGCTCAAGTATGCCCATTATCTTTACTTTGTGTATCTTTTTTTCACTTGTTCCAAGTTGTGAAGTCGTCATGAGGAGAGCGTCTTCCGCATCAACGGAGCTCTGGGAAAGTGACCTGGGCTCACCAAACACCACGCCTTTGCAGAACCTCCACAGCCTCTTGCAAGCTGTCAGGGGCTTTCTCCTGCGGCTTGCTGTGCTAGTAGTAGCAAGAAGCTACTAGGGGATCCTGGCCTTACTAGTAGGAACAAGGACGCTATTAGGGGCTCCCGGCCGTAGTACTAGGAGCTTCTTCGAGGACCTGTTGGCGAACTAGGTCACCCTCTTCGAACCCTTCAGACCTCAACCACTCATCTAGACTGCACCCAGCCTTTGGCGGGCTCGGCTCTTTCTCCTGGGCAAAAGCTGTAAACGCAGGTGGATGACCTACAACCCGATTCCCCTTGGTTTCCCTTTGAATCCTGCATGCTCACTAGAGCTCTGGCGGAGGAGTTGCCAACCTGAACGCTTCTTGTTACTACTAGTAAGGCACTTGTTACTACTAGCGATGCAC